CATGATGAACCATGATGGGAGTGGTGGCTCCCACGTGGAGCACCGACCACCCTCCAGGCTCCTCCTGCGTCCACGGGCAAGGATGGAGTGGTTTGGGTTGGGAGGGACCGTCAAGACCAGCTCTGGGGGTCCATGCCGGGCGGGTGGGCAGCTGCTGACCCTTCCCTCGTGCAGGTACGACTCGCTGACAGGGGTGCCGTCCCACCAGCGGGCTCTGGCCTTCGAGAAGGGCAGCGTCCTCTTCAACCTGGGCGCCCTGCTCACCCAGATCGGGGCGCGCCAGGCCCGCGCCGCCCTGCCCGGCCTCAACCAGGCCATCGACGCCTTCCAGAGGGCAGCGGGTACGTGGGGGCCTCCGGCATCATCAGCACCCACCCCCGGGCAGGGGAGGGGAGCCGGGGGATGGGGAATGAATCCTGGGGGGGATTGGAGGGAAAGGATGGTGAGTGATGGCTGCTTGTATATATATATATATATAATGTTTGTAAATATATACACTATATATATATATATATATATATATATATATATAATATATAGTATATATATTATGTTATATATACTATATATAGTATATATACTATATATTCTATATGTAGTAGAAAGTATATATAGTATATATACTTTATATTCTATATATAATAGAGAGTATATATAATATATATAGTATATATACTATACTACATATAGTAGAGAATATGTATACTATATATAGTAGAGAGTATATATAATACATATACTATATAAATTCTACGTAATAGAATGGTGGTCAGTTTATATAATATAGATACTATACATACTATATATTCTATATATAGTAGAGAGCATATATAATACATATACTATATATATTCTGTGTACTATATAGAGACTATATATAATGCATATACTATATATATCATACATAGTGTATATAATATATAGAAAATATATACTATATATAAAACATATAGTACCTACATTATATTTTGTTTTCTATACAGTAAGATACTAGTGAATATGTAATAAATGCTAATATATATGATCATATGTTAATATAATATGAATATAAATAAACTATTATATAGTATAGTATACACTATTATATATTATATGTAATATATATAGTAAATATAATATACATACTATATGTAATATATATCATAGTGTATAGTAGATATATACATAAAAGATAAAATATACTAATGCTGTACAATATATGTATTATACATAATATAGACAATATATACTATAGTATATTGTATATACTATTATGTATTAAATAATATATTAATATACTATTATATACCATAGTATAATATATATACACTATTGTATATCATCATAATATAAAATATTTAGGTAATATAATAATATATATTTTATTTTATTACATATTATAATGTTCTATGTAATATATAATTGAATAGTACATTCTATATATTATTATATAGAATATTGTATTCTGTATATAATATAGAATCATATCATATATAATTAGATAATAGATATAATATATATTATGCATATTAAGTATATATATTTTATACATATTATTTTAGAACAGTTTGGTTTTAAAGGAAAACAGGGGTGAAGCCATTTTGGGGGTTGTCATCTGTAGTCATCCAGCAACATTAAAGCATAAAAATGACACTTCTGTGTCCCTTGAACGTGTAAGGGAAGGAAGAGAAGGAAAGGAAAGCCATCACTGTTCCCATCTATCTCCACATATTCCTGCTGGATGCAGTGATGAACCTGGGTGGTTGAAGCTCCATGTGTGCTGGCTGAAGTGGTGGCCACAATCCCATCAGAGGGGTGATCTCCATCCTTCGGGGGTGGGGGACACCTGCCATGGGGGGTGACATGTTGGATGTGTGGATGGAGTTTCTCCTGCACTGCTGGTGGGGATCCAGAAACCTGACCCTGCTGCTTCCGAGCCCGGTGACCCCCAAGGAGCTTCTCCCTCGTGCAGGTGCCTTTAACTACTTGAAGGAGAACTTCTCCAACGCTCCCAGCCTGGATATGAGCGCCCCTTCCTTGGACATGCTGGTGAGGCTGATGGTGGCCCAGGTGCAGGAGTGTGTCTTTGAGAAGATGACCTTGCTCCGTGCCCAGAACGACTTCCTGGCCCGGCTGCAGCTGGCTCAGGAGGCAGCAAAGGTGAGGATTTGGGGGAGGAGAGGATTTCATGGAATCAGCTGGGTTGGAAAAGACCCCGGAGATGGTCGAGTCCAAGCCATGCCCCAACCCCACCTTGGCACCCAGCCCATGGCACCGAGTGCCACGTCCAGGCTCTGCTTCAGCATCCCCAGGGACAGGGACTCCACCCCCTCCCTGGGCAGCCCATCCCAAGGGCTGATCCCTCTCCCTGGAAAGAACTTCCTGATATCCAACCTAACCCTGCCCTGGCACAGCTCAGGGCTGTGTCCCCTTGTCCTGGGAGCAGAGCCCGACCCCCCTCAGCTCCCCCCTCCTGTCAGGGGGTTTTGGAGAGTGCTGAGGTGTCCCCTGAGCCTCCTCCTGTCCAGGCTGAGCCCCCCCAGCTCCCTCAGCCTCTCCTCATGGCAATTGTGCTCCAGTCCCTTCCCCAGCCTCGTTGCTCTTCTCTGCCCCTGCTCCAGCCCCTCCATGTCCTTGCTGAGCTGAGGGCC